ACATACACTTTTGAAATGTTTCCATGTGCATCTTCCTGAATGGAGTGATACTCAACATATTTTCACGTCTACTACTGGATAGTTAGTGCTCTCTTCCGTGAATTTCCTGTTAATTTGTCTTTGTGCCTATTGATTATTAGAGTTCTTACTGATTTGGAGAAATGCTTTAAATAATGAGTAAGTCTTCGTTGGTAAGTGTTAAAATTATGTTCTTCTACTCTGTGATTTGTTGTTTTATTTTGTTAACGGTGTTTCTGCCACATGTACATTTAAAATAAATAACGTAATCAGGCCAGACATGGTGGCTCACGCCTGTAATCCTAGCACTTTGGGAGGCTGAGCCGGGCAGATCATGAAGCCAGGAGATTGAGATCATCCTGGCTAACACAGTGAAACCCCGTCTCTACTAAAAAATTAGCCAGGCGTGGTGGCGGGCACCTGTAGTCCCAGCTACTTAGGAGGCTGAGGCAGGATGGTATGAACCTGGGAGGCGGAGCTTTGCAGTGAGTCAAGATTGTGCCACTACACTCCAGCCTGGGCGACAGAGCAAGACTCTGTCTCAAAAAAATAAATACATAAAGTAATCAAATATGTCAATTCTCTCTCTTTCCTTATGGTTTTTGCTTTTTGTACTTAAAAATTGTCTTCTATCCCAGTATCTTAAAGACAGTCATCTACAACTTCTTCAGAAAGGTTCTGGCCTTTAGTGTATCTGGAATTTATATAAGGAGTAGGGATTTAAATTTTTTCCCTATAAATGAACAAGTGTCCTGGTTCCTCCCTGAGAGACAGGGGTCTCGCTCTGTTAGGATCATAGCTCCCTGCAGCCTTGAACTCCTGTGCATAAGGGCTCCTCCCACATCAGACTCCTGAGTGGCTGGGACTACAGGCACATACCACCACGCCTGGCGCTGTTTCTGAAAAACCCATATTCTCTCTCAAGGTCTGTTTCTGGTCTCATTGTCTATCTCTATGCCAACACCATTCTCTCTCAATCACTGCAGATTTGATCTCATTGTGTGGCATAATGATTGCCCCTATCGTATTGTTTTTGTAAGTTATCATGGCTATACAAGGCCCTTTGCTCCGCCGGGCGCGGTAGCTCACATCTGTAATCCTAGCACTTCGGGAGGCCGAGGCGGGCAGATCACCTGAGGTCGGGAGTTCGAGACCAGCCTGACCAACATGGAGAAACCGGTTCTCTAATAAAAATACAAAATTAACGAGGGATGGTGGTGCATACATGTAATCCCAGGTACTCAGGAGCCTGAGGCAGGAGAATTGCTTGAACCCTGGAGGCGGAGGTTGCAGTCAGCCGAGATCATGCCATTACACTCCGGCCTGGGCAACAAGAGCAAAACTCCATCTCAAAAACAAACAAACAAACAAACAAAAAAACCAGGCCCGTTGTTCTTTTATATGAATTTTAGGAACAGTGTGTCGAGATCCACAGATTCTTTTTTTTTTTTTAGGAGACAGAGCCTCACTCTATCACCCAGGCTGGAGTGCAGTGGTGTGATTTCAGCTCACTGCAGCCTCTGCCTCTCGGGTTCAAGCAATTCTCGTGCCTCAGCCTCCCGGGTAACTGGGATTACAGGTATATGCCACCATGGCTGGGTAATTATTGTATTTTTAGTAGAGACAGGGTATCGACGTGTTGGCTAGGCTGATCTTGAACTCCTCAGCTCAAGTGATC